ACAGGAAGAGTCTAAATGTTGCTTCTGTTGTCCACCTCCTTAGTCCCTAAGGTGTCCCATTAATTTCAGTGAAATTCCTGGAGTAAGGCACAACATGGAAAATGATATTGGAATCTGATTCTCAACTGGCATTTAAAAAAAAAAAGAGGGGGGATTGGAAGGGGAGTTATTCTTCTACCCATCTATTAAAGGAATACTTATTTAATGTCAGCTGCATTCTGGACTCTTACAGGAAGCATTATATCTTTTTCATAAGTGACCTGGCTTGTAAAGTTATAAGTGGGTAGCTGCTGAAAGACCACAGAAGCTATTTTGGAAAATGTGACTGAAAGGTTATTTCCTTAAGAAAAGAGTAATGGAAGGCTCTAATCCTAATATAGCACAGAATGAAAGAACAATCTGGGAGATTTAACTGCTGTAATATGCTAACACACAGGAAAGTATGTGCACTGTGGCCTAAATTCTAATCACCTTTCTCATGCAAGAAACATCATTTGGTTTAAAGGGAACACTTTTTTTATCCTTTCATCTTTTTTTAATATCTTACTCACAGTTGCAGCCTCAGCACTATCCAGCTCTCAGTTTAATCACTGCAGCTTTCAGGAGGACCCTCTCCATTTTCAACATTTAAGCATTTAGTTGTCTAAATTTATTCTTGTTGCTTTGCCAAGAGGTAGGAAACAAATTTGGGCTCAGAAAGATGGATCCCTCCAAACACACAGTAAACACTCAGTGAATGAAAAGGCACATGACATCACAATTTGTTAGGGAATTTACAGCAAGTGACCTGCCCCTTTTAACCGTGGCAGCAACTGTATTATTCACTCCACATAATTAATTGGTAGGTTATGCTAATCTGAAGATGGAAGCTATCAATTGTGTATGTCCAGACCATCTCTCCCATTGATTTTGTAATTAATGATGAATGTACATTTTGGGATAGAGAGACTGCTGAGGAGGGAACTTCACGTGCAGAATAAAAATGTTACAGTAGCCTAATTAATTAGGTATGGTTGACAAAGGGGGGCACAGGATAACCCTACAATATACTGTGCTTTAGTAGTGGTCAAAGAGTCAGAAGGAAGATGTCACACAATAGCTGTATTAATCTTTCCGTGGGTTACATGAGATCTATTGCAGCAGCAGGACCATGGGAGAACTGTTTGGTATCTCAAAATCACCTGGCTCTGACGCTGGCTTGAAACCTATTTGCTTTGTTCACCAATGAAAACATTGTCATAATGCACTAGACACCAAGATGATAGTTTGTCATTAAGCCTGGTAACAGGATTGAAAGCCATGTAGGACATCCTTTTAGGTAACAAATACCACACTTTGGACATAGACTTAACCAATTTTAAGCCTCAGGAGAAGAGAGTATGCCTCTGGGGGCAGCTGGTTCAGCCAGTCTTTGGCTGTGCAGGCCCATGACAGGCCTTCTGGCCTCTCACTGTAGCAACAGTTACCACTGGGTGAAGTGACAACGCACATAGCCAACATAAATATTCAGCTTCAGCTACACAGTGACATTTCGATAGACAAAGTATGCGCCAAGTTGAAAAACTTCTTCCTAACCAAATCTAGAAGTCTGTTGCAAAAAACGCAGCACTTAACTCCCCAAGTCTGAGTCATGAAAACAACCACTCCCTACACACAGCTCTCCTCTGACCCGACTGTAATTCGTAAGAATGACAGCAGTTGGCATGACAGGGTCAGGCCCAGGACAACATTTCCAAAGCAGACCATACCAGACAGCAAACAATGCTGCTTCAGTTCTTCAGGAGGGTGCTCCTTGCTTTTGGGTGGGCCAAAGGACTTATACATCTATAAACATCCACATGCAAAAATATGTAACACATACCACTTTGATTTTATTTCCCTCTCTTGACTTCTTTGGAAATACAAAGCAAACCCAGACTTTCAGAGGGACTAAAAAACGTGTAGGTGAGAGATCTGGCAGTTCTTAATTAAAGGATAGAAAGTGCTAAATTCTTACAAAAAAGCATTAATTTTCCTGTAATGGTTCAGCAAAATGAGTTGTGTGACAAAAGATCAAAAGCAGAGACATGTATTCTCATCTAGGCAAGGGACTGACTTACTGAAGGGAGTTTTGCCTCAGTGCAAATTAAAATCAGAGTCAGCACACTGTGAAGACAAGAAATCACTTCTTTCAGTATAAATCGGGGTTAACTTGCCCTATATCTATAATATACTAAAATGATCCATTCTCATCTACTTCACAGAGCCCTTCAGAGGACTTGAATTGCTAAGTTAAAACTGAAGGAGCTGCATAATAAGCTTCTACCATTGCACTGCTCATCTTTGCAGATCACAAAAGCACAAGAAAAGAACATGTTTGTGGTTGGGTGTGGGGCTTTTTTTTGGGGGGGGTGGAGTAGGTGGTGTGGGTTTCTGAGAGTCACAGTCTAGTCACCTCGAGTATGTCTCTGCTGCACACAACAACCAAAGCAATTACCCATGTACATAGAGCACCCATGCCTTGTAAACCATACAGACATGCTGCTCATCAGTGAATTCCGGTAGGGAAACCACCAACTCTTGAAATACTTGGAGATAGAAGAGCTCATCTCAGGACAGGGAGGTTGCACTAATTAACAAATAACATTAAAAGGTAATAGAAGGGAGTTGGTTTAGGTTTTTGTAGGACATAAAAATTATGTCAGTGATTCTTACCAGGGAAAATGGTCAGATACGTTATTAAGTTCTGTATTTAAGAACGGATACAATATGAAATGGGTTTTCCTATGTGCAAAAGGCAAAGACAATAAAAGCTGTATTGAGTTGAGGACTTGCATTAAGCTGCAAGTTGGTAAACTGGAGCTGAACTGTCTGTCTGTCCATCAGTCTGTCTGTCTATCTGTCTATCTGTCCTGTCCGTCTGTCCATCTTTTGGTCCATCTTTCTATCTGTCCATCTGTCCTTCTGTTGGTCTGTCTTTCTGTGCATCTTTCCGTCTGTCTATTCATCTTCGTCTGTCTGTCCTTCTGTACATGTCCGTCTGTCCTTATGTCCTTCCGTCCATCTGTCAGTCCATCTTTCTGTCTGTCCGTCTGTCTTTGTCTGTCTGTCCTTCTCATGTCCGTCCATATGTCTATCTGTCCATCAGTCTCTCCATCTCTGTCCTTCTGTCTCTCTGTCTGTCCGTCTGTCTTTGTACTTCTGTCTTTCAATCTGTCCTTCTGTCTTTGTCAGTCCTCCTTTCCATCTGTCCTTTTGTCTTTCCGTCTGTCCTTATGCCCTTCTGTCTTTGTTTCTCTTTCTGTCCATCCTTCCGCCCATCCTTCTGTCTTTGTCTTTCTCCTTCCGTCCTTCTGTCCGTCTCTCCTTCTGTCTTTCTCTGTCCTTCTGCCTTCATGTCTGTCCTTCCGTTTTTCCGTCTGTCCTTTTGTCTTTCTGTCCATCTGTCTGTCTGTCCCCTGCTGTCTTTCTGTCCTTCTGTCCATCTTTGTCAGTCTGTCCTTCTCTCTTTCTGTTCTTCTGTCTCTCTGTCCTTCTCTGTCTTTGTCAGTCTGTCCTTGTCTGTCCATCTGTCTGTCTTTCTCTCTTTCTGTCTGTCTTTCTGTCCTTCCGCCCGCCTGTCCTTGTCTGTCTTTTACAGTCTTTTTACAGTCTTCTGTCTTTTACAGTCTGTCTGTCCTTCTGTCAGTCTGTTATTCTCTTTCTGTCTGTCCTGCCTTTCTCTGCCTTTGTCACTCTGTCCTTTTGTCCTCCTGTCTGTCCTTCTTTCTGTCCTTCTGTTCGTCTGTTAGTGTGTCTTTGTCTGTCTGTCCTTTTGTCTGTCTTTGTCAATCTGTCCTTCTGTCTTTCTGTTTGTCCTTCTCTCTTTCTGTCCTTGTCTGTCCTTGTCTTTTACAGTCTGTCCTTGTGTCCATCTGTCCTTCTGTCTGTCTGTCCTTCTGTCTTTCTGTCTCTCCTTCTGTCTGTCCGTCTGTCTGTCCATCTGTATTTGTCATTCTCTCTGTCCTTCTGTCTGTTCGTCTGTCTGTCCTTCTCTCTGTATGTCCATCCATCCTTCTGTCCGTCCTTCTGTCTGTTCATCCATCTGTCCTTGTCTGTCAGTCAGTCTTTCTGTCCATCATTCTCTCTGTCCTTCTGTCCATCAGTTTGTCCATCTCTGTTCTTCTCTCTGTATGTCCATTCGTCCTTCTGTCTGTCCATCTGTCTGTGCTTCCATCTGTCAGTCCTTTCTATTCTTCTGTCTCTCCTTCTGTCTGTCCATCCATCCGTTTGTCCGTCAGTCTCTCTGCCCTTCTGTCTCTCTGTCCATCTGTCTGTCCTTTCATCTGTCAGTCCTTCTGTCTGTCCATCTGTTTGTCCGTCCTTCTGTCCGTCCACCCTTCTGTCCATATGTCTGTCCTTCTGTCCATCCTTCTGTCTCTCCTTCTGTCTGTCCGTCTCTCCTTCTGTCTGTCCATCCGTTTGTCCGTCAGTCTCTCTGTCCTTCTGTCTTTCTCTCTGTCCATCTGTCTTCTGTCTCTCCTGCTGTCTCTCCTTCTGTGTCATTTTCTCTGTCCTTCTGTCTGTTCCATTTGTCCGTCTCTCTGTATGTCTGTCCATCTGTTTGTCCGTCATTCTGTCAGTCCTTCTTTCTCTTTGTCTGTGTGTCCTTCTGTCAGTACTTCCATCTTTGTGTCTCTCCGTCCATCTGTCCTTCTGTTTGTCTGTCTGTACATCTCTTTCTCCATCTGTCTGTCCATGTTCCTGAGAGACGGACAGACAAGGACACACAGAAGAACGGACAGAAAAACAGACTGACAGACAGACAAGGACATAAAGACAGAAGGACAGACTGACAAAGATATACAGAAGGACATGCAGAAAGACATACAGAATGACAGACGAAGAGAAGGACAGAAGGACAGACAGAAAGAGAGGAGGACAGAAGGACAAAAGACACACAGAAAGAAAGACAAAAGGACAGACAGAAGGACAGATTGAAAGACAGAAGGACAGACAAAGACAGACAGAAGGACAGAAGGATGGGTGGAAGGATGGACAGAAAGAAAGAGAAGCAGAAAGACAGAAAGACATAAGGACAGACTGACAAAGACAGAAGGACAGACAGGACAGAAGGACAGACAGAAAGAGAGGAGGACAGATGGACAGACAGACAAGGACAGACTGACAGACAAACAGAAGGACAGAAAAAAACAGAAAGACGGACAGAAAGACAGAAGGACAGGCTGACAGAAAGATGGAAAAAAGGACAGAAAGACAAGGACAGATGGACAAAAGAACAGACAGACAGAGAAGGACAGAAAGAAAGACAGAAGGACAGACAAAGACAGACCGACAGAAGTACAGCAGGACAGACAGAAATACAGAAGGACAGACAGAAAGAGAGAAGGACAGAAGGAGAGACAGAAGGAGAGACTGACAAAGACAGACAGAGACACAAGGACAGACAGAGACCACAAGACAGAAAGACAGCAGGGCAGAAATACAAAAAGACAGAAGGACAGATGGACAGAAGGACATACAGACAGAAGGATGGAAAGGGAGATGGACAGACAGAAGGACATATAGAAAGACAGACAGAACTACAGACAGAACAATAGACATAAGGACAGACGGGGAGATGGAAAGACAGACGGAAGGACGGACAGAATGAGACAGACACAGGGAGACAGACAGAGGGACAGAAAGACGGACAGACAAGGATAAAGACAGACAGAAGGTCAAACAGAAAGATGGAGAGACAGACATACAGACAGAAGGACAAAGACAGAAGGACAAAGACCGAAGGACAAAGACAGACAGAATGATGGACAGATGGACGGACAGACAGAAAGACAGATAGATGGAGACACAAGGACAGACAAAGATGGACAGATGGACAGACAGAAAGACAGACAGTAGGACAGACAGGCAGATGGACAGGCAGGCAGAAAGACACGCTGGTGGGGGGCGGGGCAGGGCAGGGCATTTATAACATAACTAAAACTTTTGAAGTTGAGATTTTAAACCACTAAAAATGCAGAATTTAACAAACATTCATTCAGTGTTACCTTGTCAAACCCAAATCTTCTGAACGGACTTAATGATGCAATAGAACATAACAGCATGGAATGAGCTATATTTTTCATGTTATTTCACACCAGCCAATTAACATTCTGGATCCTAAGGTATCAATTTTAAAGTGCACAAATTCTTATTTTTCATCTCCTTAAAATACATAATGAGGAAAAAATCTGTACATGCAGCAAAATAAGATATGAATAGATTTAATTCTGCTCAGTCTAACTCCTCAGTCTGTGAATAAGTTTGAAACTAAAGGGATTAATTAAAAAGCAATTCTTCCATGACACAAATTCAAAGTGCATTTCTTCTTTCTTCAGGTGCAATGAGGTAGTTTTCATTTGCTACAATACTGTGGAGCTAACAAATAACAGAATAAAAAGAAGGCTGCTTCCACAAAAAAAAAGGACAGTCATGGCAATGCATAAGTATGTTTATAAAAAAAAAGCCACATACAAGAAAAGAGATTGTACAGAGAAGCCGAGAAAAAGTATAAATCTGCCTGCTCTCTCTATAAGGAGCTCAAATACAGCTGATTAAATTCCTGCATTTCTTTTTCAAGGAAAATTTCAACATTTTGAAATTTCCTTTCATTCTGAATTAAAATTGGACCACAAATTTCAAAGTGTCCTTCAGCACAGAAACTTTAAAAAATCCATGTTAGGTAATATACTAAAATGAGCTTTGCAATTAACACAGGAGAATTAAGAGAATAAAGTGAAACCATAAGCATATTGAATCTACTTATGTGAGAATTCTAGATGCTTCTTTATATTTGCCAAGTCAGTACATTCCAATGAAACCTTTCTAGGTTGATACAAAATTAATTAATGGACAAGACATATTCCACCATATATTTGCACATTTAATTGAAAGTTCTCCTGCTATAAAATTTCAAAATAGATTTACTCAAAAGGCAATGTTTACAGATCACACATTAGATCTCATAGAACAATCCTCTTTTAGTGGGACAATGATGTGACTAAGAATACTGTCCAAAATCTTATAGAATCATGGAATCATTAGGGTTGGAAGGGACCTCAAAGATCATAAAGTTCCAACCTCCCTGCCATGAGCAGGGAAAATTATGAGTCTAGGAGAACCTGAGAGCCTGGAGGCCCAACCTTTGTCTGTATAACAATGTCCTCTACCATCTTGACCCTCAGCAACTTGGCTCCTACATGTTTAATTTGATGCTCCTCAGCTTTTGCACTGGAAGAGACAGCAAAGAGACAATTCCTATCCACTTTTTCCATTCTGCTCATCAATTTGTACGTCTATCGCATCCCTTCTAAACTGAACAGTCCTAGTGCATGCAACTCATGCCTGCTATGAAAGTCCTTCCACCCTTCTTGCACTTCCATGAACATCTCCCAGATGTACTACACCCTATTTGAGATGACAGGACTGGAACTGTGCACACTATTCAACACGTGGATTCATAGAGTTGTTCTCTAATCTTTTTTCTCACTTAACATTTGGTTACCTTTTTGGCTGCTACTCAGCACTGAAATTTTTTCATGGAACTATTATAATCCCAAGATTGTGAGCCCAAATCATAATGGTCAGCTCAGAGCATATCATTTTCTATGTGAATTTAAGATGGCTTTTCCACACACACACCAGTTTAGATTTATGCATGCTAAATTCCATGTGCCCACACAGTCTGCTGAGATACCCCTCTTTCCTCATAGCTAGTATTCATGTTCACTATCCTCAATAATTAACTTCCTACCACCCTCAGACTTTCTCAACCTTCTGCTCATCTGCTTGTCCCAGCAGTTTATGGTACATTTACCAGGACAGAGCCCAGCAGAGTTTCTGCAGAACTCCATTAAAGAGATCCATTGTGTATTTTCTTGGTTTCCCCTAAAAGTTATTGGCACAGGACTTCATGAGAATCCTTTCAGAAATACAAGCTTAGCAACTCTCTCAGCCTTATTCACATCCTTACTGACCTCTTCAAAGACCTCCCATAGATTGGGAGGGTAAAGCATGGTTTACATCCCCTCAGTCAGCAAAGATATGCAGAGTTTCCATTTAAAATTGCCTTTTAATTTTAGTCAACATAATCAGACAATGGCAAATGGATCAAAATTGAGAGTAACTATCAGTGAAAATGAAAGTTAAGGTGCTGAAAAGAACCTAACAAGGGTTAAAAACTCATTAGTGCCTCCCAATTCCCTAGGTTTCCCTAGAAATAGTTATAATTCCCTAGTTATAGATAGGAGATACTAACTCGGTATCACACTGACTCATGGAAGACTGGTAATGTGCTGGATTTCCTATCTCCATCATGTCCTTCTTTCAGGGAGATCTCACATCCTGCTACTCATAATAAACACAACAGAAAGGGCAAAAATGACAGAACAAACTATATGTCTCTTATTCAAGGAATATTTGCCACTGTCCTCTCTGTAAGTTCTGTAAATATCCACTCAGGACAGGAAAGAAGAAAAAGCAATCTACAGTCTTTGTAGCTGAAAGAGCTTTTGGCCTCAATTGGGCATTTCTGTGTGTCCCTTTCTCCATTGTGAAGTAAATGCCAAAGAAAAAAATTAGCTTTTACTAGCTCTCCCTCCATGCCATGCAATGATATGTTAATCCATAGTAACATGGAAGAAAGTGGATGCAGAAGTTTAAGTAAAAGAGAAACAGAACAGATCTGGATGTGGCCAAACAGGAGCTTAGTGAACAGGAAAGCAGTAACTGTAATTCAGAATTCTGAAAACATGACCATTACATGGAAAAATACTTCTAGCAATAAGTCAGAGGCTGTGCTGGGATCAGTGCTGCTCCCTCGCTGTGCAATACAGGAACAACGCAAAGAGGCTGCCCAGAACAGCAGCCAGATGGTCCAACCTTTCCAGGTACCACTCCTGCAGTTTCTATGAGATGGCCCAGCACCCTGTCAGGCTGAGACTTAGAATTGTCCAATGTGGGGGAATCTACCACTTCTACACTCATATGACCAAAAAGAAGAAAGGTCTTTTGCTCTGTTTTTCTCAATGTAAATACCTTTTCTAGAATGTGGATTTGTCTCTCTTTGCCCTTCATTTATGGGGGGAAAATTAATGACAGATTATGAAAAGGAATAGAAGTGTGAAAGCAAAAGTGGCTAAGTACCCTGATTTTCTAAAATTTTATAATTATCAGCAAATAGCTCCCTTCTAAGAGCAGCCCTAATTGGCTATTAACAATAGTAGCTAACATTTCAAGGCAATTAATACTATTTTTAAAAAATTAGATGGCTAATATATTACATTAGACCATACAGTAAGCAGAAGTCTTGCTAATTATGTATATTATTCTCCCTACTTGGCTTAATTAAGGTGTCTGGCTTTTAGATTAATTCATTGTTACTCTATTTATTTATTTTTAATCAGCGTAACTAATCCTCCCACACACTATTGTAGCACTAAAACAGAAAGATGTGGATGAAGCAGTGAAAGAGACACAAAAAAGGACATAAAATGAAGATTTAATTCCAAGTTTCAGAAACAATTGCCCAAAGAATTAAGACGTGAGAAATTAGGGGGAAAATGCAGAAGCCTGAATCAACATTTAACACCTTCTGCCGAATGCTGAAGATGTAAATCTCTACACAGAAGAAGTCATACCCAGATCATTTTGATTTTCAGAACAAAGCATTCATCTGACAAAAATATTACCACTCCATAGCTTAAATGATTGTTTTTCCCATTTTCTCCAAAAGCAGGAAAAAACCTTGATAAAGGGAGATTTGTTCCAAATTGGGAGCTAATCTTTCATGAAAAAAAGAGCAATGAATAAATTGCTTACAGTCAAAATCTTATCATTTTTATTAGCCCAAAACTACATTTCACTCTGAAATATTTGAGCATGTCTGTGTGCTCAGCAACTCCCTGCTGCTGTCATTGCACAAGTGAATTACCTTTGCTGAAAGCCAGAATATACAAGTTTTCCTGCCCTGTGTACCAGAAACATATTGTACCTTGCATTTCTACCCTTAAGCTTAAGAAACAATACACACACACTGAGTACACAGCCCCACAAGTGCTCCAGGGCCTCTGCCCAGCTCTGAGAAAACTCTTCTCCAACTTCTCAGTAAAGCCGGAGCAGTACTTGCTGTCTAAAACCTTGTAACTGCACAAGGAAATGTCAGGGCAACCTATCCATGTCATTATCTTACTGCTCTCTTACCTGTATGTAATCCTTTTTAGGATCCAGTAGGAGCCATCATCATGAAAAACAACTGCTCAGGAAACAGGATGAAATGACAAAAGGAAAGGGAGGGCTCA